CCGGCCAGCACTGCTCCCTTCCTGGCCTGTCCTCTAACCCTAACCCTAACCCTAACCCTAACCACATCAGCCTTCTTGGCTACAAGGGCACACTGTTGATTCATATCCAGCTTCTCATCCACTATAATCCCCAGGTCCTTTTCTGCTGAACTGCTACTTAGCCAGTCGGTCCCCAGCCTGTAACAATTCTTGGGATTCTTCTGTCCCAAGCGAAGGACTCTACACTTGTCCTTGTTGAACCTCATCAGATTTCTTTTGGCCCAATCCTCTAATTTGTCTAGGTCACTCTGGACCCTATCCCTGCCCTCCAGCGTATCTACCTCTCTGCCTGGCTTAGTGTCATTTGCAAACTTGCTGAGGGTGCAATCCATCCCCATATCCAGGTCATTAATAAAGATGTTGAACAAAACCGTTCCTAGAACCGATCCTTGGGGAACTCCACTAGAACCGACCACCATCCTGACACTGAGCCATTGATCACTACCCTTTGGGCTCGACAGTCTAGCCATTTTTCTATCCATCTTACAGTCCATTTATCCAATCCATACTCCCTTAACTTGCTGGCAAGAATATTGTGGGAGATGGTGTCAAAAGCTTTGCTAAAGTCAAGGTATATCAGATCCACTGACTTTCCCATGTCCACAGAGCCAGTTATCTCATTATAGAAGCTGAGAAGGAATTTCACAAAAGCCTACAACAAAGCTGAACATATATGACCTGTGGTTTATAGACCAGCCTTGCAACATCTGAGATAGCAACATTTGAAATAGAAGTAAATATATTCTTCTTGGTTGGTGTTAAAACATACACTAGGATGAAGAATGAAAATATTTTGTCAAACTATGAGTATTTAAAAATGAAATTAAGATGTTATTTTCCTCCACAGCAGTTCTAATGAAGGTAATCAAATAGATACATAATATACCTGGAATAAGACAGTTATTTTATAAATACAACACAATATTTGATTGTAAAAAAAAAATCTTTTAACTGAGGTCTCTCTCCAATTGGGCACCCACATTAGTGGCCAAAAATTAAAGCACCCACATTAGTGGCCACTTCTGATAATTTGGCCTGTAATCTCTCTGGGCCTTCAAAAGTGCACTTGTAAAATGGGGTTAATAAATACTTATCCACCTAGGTAAATTTTGTTGAGCTCTACAGATGAAGTGCTAAGCGCAAAGAATTATTGTGAGCATTATCCTGACTTTCAAATATTATTAAGCATGTCTCCTAATTATGAGAAGCACTATACCAAATGTCAGTATTCTGTAATTTCAAAAGCATACAAACTAATTATTAAAATCATTATTGGACAAAAATGCTTGATTATTAGTTAGGGTAAGTGTCATATTTGTAGTTCTGAAAACAACACTCACAGAAACAGAAGAATCGAAATCACCTAGTGTGACATTTCCACAGGTACTGAGAGTTGTGAGGCACCATGTCCTGCCTGCTGGGGGTCAGCTTCCCACCCATGGGCACTCCCCTCCTGGCCTCACCAGGCCACGTTCCTACTCTACAGGCTAATGATAGGCACACTCAATCCCTGAGTCTTTTGAGCATCTCCTTGGTCCCACTGAGCACTCACAGAATTCTTAGCTGCACTGCTCCCAAAGATACTGCATATACGTGCTCATTGGTTTCCCTGCAGCTTGCAGCTCTGTTTATAATGAAAGTCTACTTAAGAAATAGTACAGATTTAAGTGATAGCAAGTAGTAATATTAAAAACAAATTAGTTTTGTGTTAAATAAAATGATAACATGCATTCTAGAACCTAGACTTACTTAATAGCTATTATCATATTTTACAATTTTGTTCACCAGCATTTTTCAGCCTTGTAGGCTGTGATCCCTTTTTCATGAAGCAAGACACATACTC